TGCAATCATTCGATGGGCTGAATTGCACAAAACGCATGATCGCACCGGCTAGTCTGGTGCGCGTTGCTATTTATTTACCTGAGTCTGTGGAGGCTGCTGCACAACAGGCACTGGTTGCTGTTGTTGGTAAGGCGAAAAGCAAAACTGCTGGCAGTTCTGGTTGCACTGATTTGGACACTGATTGTTCTGCTGACCACAAGAATGCATGCAGAAATCAACACATTGCGGTAAACAGTACTGTTGCTGCATATTGGGGTAAACATTCGGATAGGAGTATGGATACGGTATGGGTTGAGGAGGTAAATTTGGATATGGATAGAGAGGGAAATGAGGTAGCTGCTGCTGTGCATCGGGCAACATAATGCATATTTGGGCACATTGCTGCTCGCACTCTGTATTGCACTGCACGGATTGCTGCTGCTTGCAAAACTGCTGGCACTGACTGTGGCACTGCGGAATGCACGCTTGCTGCTGCTGCGCGAGTGTTTGGATACCGGACGGGCAACTTTGCTGGCACTGTTGCATGCAGGGACAGTACTGCGGGCCAGCCACACAATGTTGCTCGCAGCCCATCAAGCAATTGCTGCACTGCTGCTGCAGGCTACTGAATAATGGGTAAATTTGTGGGTAGGCACTGTTCTGGGAATATGCATTCCAGAAACTGGGTTGCAGTAGGGGCTGCTGCCAACCGCAGGATTGTGTACACGCTTCCAGGCATGCACTCTGGCACTGCATTTGCGGCATGTACGGGCTGCATTGCGTGCCACAGGATTGCTGGCAACCCGCCTGGCACTGTTCACCGATTTGCACATGCATATTGCATCCGCACTGATACGACTGCTGCAACTGCTGCTGTGCCTGAGGACACGAGCACGACATCGCGGAGGAGGAGGTCGATGCTTGAGGAGTACAGATGCACTGCTCGCCGATCCATGGCCGTATTTGTTGCCACTGATTGCAACTACACGATTCACGTCGAACACGAACAGTGGTAGCTCCATGCACCTGAATATGTTTGTTATGAGGTACACACCTGATATGGACATAAAAAGTCTGATATTTGGTGCATTTCTGCGCGGTGCAGAAATCCAACCCAAAAATGACCGAGTGTTAAAAAATGTGTGATTGGTTATATAGTTGATGTATTTTTGCAAAAACGAATAATGCAAGTAAAAATATATATAATTATAGCAAGAGTGCTGGAACTGCATTAGCAAGAGTACTTCAAACAGGAAGAATTGGAAAATTTATAAAAAATAATCTAGAACCGAAATTCAAGCCTTGTTATATCCTGATCCGGTTAAAGTGCCGGCTTATTTTACAACTCTGAATCGAGTACTCCACAAACTGGTGATTTTATGAGAGCTATTTTATGAGATACTAAGCAAATGATAAGAAGCCAAATTTTTAAGCCTTCTGCACTGTGACTTGTGGTCGTAGGTCCAGATTCGGTTTACAGCTCCAAATTTGGATCAGAGCGAGCGATGAACTTGATGTTTTAGTTTTTTTGTTGACCGCATAAGGCAAGTCGAATAGCTGCGGAACATCGTTTCATTCTCACTGTTTTTTCACTGTTTACGATATGTTTAAATAGAAATTGATAAGAATATTGCAATGGTACTGGAGGAAAAAAAAAACAAATCCTAATTTTAAAGTTTTGCTGGTTCGTTGCGTGCATCCTCATCTGCACTTCGGCTCACTGATCGACTGCAAAAATGAGTATCCACAACAGTCATCTGGCGCTTACCGTTTTATTTATTGTTTCGGTAGAGGAAATGAAAAAAAAAACATTAAGGTACGCCTTTTAGCAACAATCTGACGTGTAAAGAGCAGCTTGCAAATGAACCAGTAGACGTAATGGATTTGTTGAAGAAAAAAAAAATTCTGAGAGCGAACTTTTGGAACTCCAAAATTTAGGAATTATTCGCACTTGCTGAA